GCTGCTCCTGAACTCTGGAACTCACTTCCAATATCTCTCCAAAATGCATCAAGTCTGGCCTCATTCAAAACTGGACTTAAAGCTTATCTCTTCAAATTAGCATATTCTTTGTAAATAATTTTTATTTTGTCGTTGTCTTTGTCGTTTGTTTACTAGCGCTTAGAACAGATTTGTATTTGCGCTTTATAAATAGATAATAATAATAATAATATTATTATTATTATAATCAGAGTTATCAAGAGTCTGATTACTAAGTCAGAAAGAAAATTGAATAGACCTACGCATCCCAAACAAATTTGCTTGACTGACCATGAAACAATGGTTTAAARTGGATACTGAACTTGATTCTTTTATTCATCAAGTCCAACCTCAACTTAAAACCATTGTTTCGTGACCAGTCAAGTGAATTCGGGATAGGTCTATTGCTTGTGTTTATTGCTTCTGCGTGATCTGATCTCTAAGGAATGCTGCTAATATATTCTTACATTTCATCATCTGATCATGTGACTGGTAGCTACCTAACATAAAAGACATTTTCCAGTTCTAAATTACTTCTGTGTTCCTTGATTACAAACTAACTTACTCAGGGTTAGCCATATATCAGTGCTTAAAATATTCACAAATTCCAAGGATAAAGTAAAGAATGCACAACTTCAACAATAAAGACACATTTAATTTCATGGACCTTCACTAATAAACATGAATATTCTACACAAAATTGAGGCTAATCCTGAGTAACTGAGAACTTGAAACTGGAGTATTGGTTGCTTAAGCAACTGAAGTGGGCATGGAATGCTGGGAAGTGGGCACTGTCTGGCAGACAAATATCTTAAATGTACTCTAATGATGTAATGTTGTCAAAAAACTGTGTGCCCTATTACATTTTTTTAAATAAACTATTTTGAAAAAATCAAAAGGTCACTCAATACATCACAGTTAGGTTTATGTGCTAGAGAAGAGAACCATATTCCTGAAGGAGTGTGAAAATGTTACATGTCTACTAAAACCTATTCTGTCATAACAATCAAGCATAAGTTATTGACAATAAGAGGAATCCAATCAGAGTTTGTTAAAATATGGAGACCAAAATAAATGCACTCAGAATATTAGTTTAAAATTATATGTTATCATGCACCTATCAATGTTAAGCCCCAGAGTGGTGGCGGAAAGAGGGGCTGCCCTAGGGAAATTGACATTATTCAGTATAAACATATCTAGATGTACTAAGGGTAAAAATAACTTTTATCAGTTGTCTGGGGGTGGGGGGTATTAAAGATTTCAAATTCAAAATTCCCCTGGGGTTGCCTGCCCTAGCCTCCCACCCTGGGGCTTAATATTATTAGGTATAAAATGTACCGAAATTACCTTAGTGAAAACACAAGATGCTGTGCTCCAAGATAGACAAGGAATAACAGCTAGTGGTTTGGGCCAAATAGTAGATGCCAAAGATGCCATATTTCCCCCCATGGAAACACCAGTGATGCCTAACGGTCCGTAGCCTTGACTTTCACACCAATGTAAAAGAATACTAGACTCCAGAATAAGAGAGGCACCCATTATGAAAAGATCGATGACGTATTTCAGACTAGATCGCTGCTGGTCAGCTGGCTTTCTTAAACCATAGAATGGATTTTCTAAAATAATCGAGGCAATACAATGCTCATGAATCAAGGGCTTTGCCATGAAGGTTCGTCTTCGCCAGTAAAAATGGTCTCCAGTTCCGGCTAACTGGATACAAATGGGCTTTTTATTTTTGTCTCGCCATTTCGTTGGTGTAATCACTTGAAATCTTGCTAATTCACTCTCTTTGGGTAGTAGACCAGGAAAGTGCTTCGCCACTGGAGACAAGAAGTGCCCTTCTGCAATATAATACGAGTCTTTTTTCCAACTTCTGTCGATGGAGACAGGATGAGATGGCGTTGCTAATTTTGAACATTTAGAAGATACGTTGAAATAATCGCGACATTCAAATAGCCTTTTATAATCTTCTAAATTCCCCCAACCTTTAGAAAAGAAACTAGAAAGGATAAGTCGCCTGTATAACACATCGCTTTTGCTTYGTATCTGGGACGCCACAGACGCCATGCTTCAAGCATCTCTTTTCCTTGTGGCGAGGGATGCGAGGGACTGAAACACATCGGGTTTTTATCGGGACATAGTCGGATCAGTACTCGAACAAGTCACGACGAGTGATGTCGACCTATAATCGAAATTTTTTTCGAACACGTTTGATCTTTTCATTGGATTGCGACTTCGAAAAGCGTAGAAGATATTAAGATAATCTGCCAAAATAATRAAATAAATTCTTAGTGCAGGTTTGATGCTTTGTGTTTTGCTTTGTTTGCCTGAACAATCGTGTACTGTTCGGTGACACGTCGTATCCGAGGAATGTCGTCCGACGCGGAAACGAAATTTGCATTCGTTCCGCAAGTCAACTTCACAAATTTTAAGTCATACGTGAATATTCAAAGCAACCAATATAAGCAGAACAACTGTATTATTGCTTCTAGAGCGCTCATGAATTTCCTAAGTAGAACAAGGACTCGTTGGATAGTTTTGTAAAACCATGAGTGTGCCTTTGAAGGCAAACATTTCTCGGGGAAACCCTGACAAAGTCTTTGATTTGATAGAGAAAATAGGAGGAGGGACGTATGGCGATGTATTCAAGGTTAGTTGTTGGCAAATTATCCTAATCGCCATGAATTGCTTGACCAAGTTTTTCTTTAATGGATGTTCATAAACAATTATCTATTATCATTATTTTCAAAGGTGGTTTATCATGTGGTTTATGTATTTCTTTTACTTTAAGGCTCGTGTAATCGCTACTGGTGAGTTAGCTGCTGTCAAGGTTGTTAAAGTTGAACCAGGTAATAAGCTTACTTATATTGACTCTGCTTTGACTTACTTAAGAATGGTTCAACGAATACTTTTGAGAAAACGTGATTTTCTTAACAATACTTAGAGTTTGACTTGTGGTTGTTAGCTCTGAAGCCATATTTAGTTTTGATAGATGTGATAATGTGTGACAGCGACACGGGTTAAGCAGTGTTTAATATTACTTGACAAATATAGTAGATTTTTAGGTGCTTGCCCTCTTACTCTTTTGACTTAAGTTTTATTTGCGGAATTACAATACCGTACCATTGTTCTTAATTATAAAATAAATTGAGCATTTATGTTATGATTAAGCTTTGATATTTGAAGTAAAGAGACTTTAAAACAGTCATGCAGCATGATTCTAAAAGAATTACTTCACTCCCGTTGTCAAAATGAATTACACTCGTTATTATTTAAGTCATTAAAAAAAATGTTTAATTTGTAATTTCAATACTCATTTACACTGCTTACTGTTAAAACACCGTCTACGTTTTCCGATATATATATTTTTTGCAATTCAATCTAGATGTTTTTTAAAATCCTGATAAAATGATAAATATAATTCTATAAATGTTTTAATATTTGTGATAATATATGTGTGCCAGATACATCAGGTTATTTATCAGGTCAATAACCTTGTTATGAACCTGTAATAGCCAGTATATAGCAGTATCGCAGTATTTTGAAATACTATATTAAATTATTACAATARACTGTACGTTTCGTAATCCATATCAAAAGGTGAAATAATTGAAAGCCTCTTTACATCTTTTTAAAACCTTAGTGATGATCTCCTGCACTAATTAGCAATTTTAGTCCTTGAGCCCAAAGACTGAACAGGCTATTGACTCATACACCATGAGGGCAAGAGGACTTGTTTTAGTCAAATTCAACTAGTCAGTCAAATATATAGATGCAAACATATAGAGGCATTTTTGCTACTAGTACATAGGCTATAACTCATAGCTTAGTAGTAACTCATCCAATCAGACAAGCATTGATGATAGGCCACTAGTTGTATTTGACTTAACACTGATAGCCCACCAACTGAGCCAACTAGGACTATTTACAGAATTTAACTATGACTACTTGTTGTTTTCTAACAGCATTTGTTTGATGTTTTGTTTTTCTTTTTACTTGTACAGGAGATGACTTTGAGCTTATCCAACAAGAAATTGCTATGATGCAACAATGTCATCATTCAAATATTATTAACTACATTGGGAGCTACATGAGGTATGTAGTTAATGTTGTATAGGAATTTATAAAAAGTGCATGCCATATGCCTGTGTAAAAGTTAAATAACAAAATTGTACCAATTAGTTCAAAATTTTGTAGGTCTACCAAGATCTACCAAGGTCTACTGAACTTACTAATTTGTGCATAATTTTTGCAAATTTGTGCAAAAGTATTTATGGTATAATTATAGTATGCTCTTTAATATGCCATAATCATCTGCAAAGGTCTCCTACGTATCATGTGGATGACTATATAGCATCAATATAATATTATTATAAAGATCATCCTGGGATTTTACAGAATTTTTAAAACACAAATTTAGAAAGTTATAGACAGGAATGACAATTGAAGTGGGTTCTGGGTAATATTGGAATCCTGGTAATTTAAACAGGTTAAAGAGAGGTTAAAGAGAGGCACAAGTAGTCATATTACTTTTGGACAGTCTTCTACAGCTTAAAGAATTTATATGTTTGCATATAAAGATAGACTTAGAGTCATCTTAAGGCATATTTTTAAATGTAAAACTCATAATTTACATAAAACTGGGAAGGCAATGGCTGACAGCTTGTATAGTTTGTTATTTAGGTAACTACTTACATGTGCCATCTAGCGGTATTTCCTGAAGAGGCTCTTTTGTATTTCATTATTATTTATTCTGGATCTTTTTTTTTTCAGGAGAGAAAAATTATGGATTGGAATGGAATTTTGTGGTGGTGGATCATTACAAGATATTTATTGTGGTCTGTTTACCATATGTTTTTTTCCCATTATTCTCCAGGTTTCGTCTTAAAAAGTCAGCAGTTTAATTAATTTGTATATACATGTGCTGATAATGTTAGAGTGGTTGTGAGTGAGTATGTAGTGAAGCACTGCTGAGTATTTTTTTATATGTCATAATTACCAGTTACTTACTTACAATACTATAACACAGGGTCATTTTGATGCCTATACAGAATAAAGTATGAGTGGTGTTAGATTCCTGTGCCTAATGTTGTATGCGAATTACATTGTCTTAAATGCCTCTCACTCTGGACATTTTTATTTACCTGAAATTTTGATTTTATTGTCAACAGTTGCTGGACCATGCTCTGAACCTCAGATAGCTTTTGTCACAACTGAAACACTTAAGGTAATCATTGTGGTATTAAACTACATGTCTATTAGTTATAAACAACTGTCTTTTGGAATTCGTTCTAATCTGTAATATTATTGCAGGGACTGGCCTACCTGCATGAAAAGAATCTGATGCATAGAGACATCAAGGTGAGATTTATTCTATCCTCAAATATGATGGTTAAAAGAAATAGGGCTTTTAGTGATATTAACTGTGTTAGATCGTTAAACCTATTTATGCAAATTCACCCATATGAACATTAGACTCCAGGTCCATCTGCTAACAAAAATAACTAAAATAAAGTGAACAAGACTCTCTAAGAGCGTAAACTGGGTTGCCTGGATTTTTGCGCATAGAAACCATGTTGCGTTTTGCATTGAGTTATGCACGTCACACCACTCAACAAGACAAAATTGACCAGACATTACAACTGAGCCCAAGATTCTTGTTTCTAAATTCTTGTTTGTAAATTCAGCCTCAGCACTTAAGAGATTAATATTGATTTCACTCAGAAAATTTTTATTTACTCGCCAAAATGAGACAGGCTTTTCTAAAAATTCCTTTACTTATATTATTATTCGGATCAACAAAGCTACAAGGTTATCCTGCATATGAGATTGCACATGGACATGGACACGCTGTCCAATCCCCATATTTGAAGTATTGTGCAATTTTTTCCATGTTGTCAAGGAGAAGACAGAAAATATCAACATATTTTATTTAAATCCACCTATGACAACTATTCCAGTCATGAAGAAAAAGTAAGAAAATATTTTTAGAACTGTTTTTCATTTKGGACCTGGAAGTCAGTTTTTTTCCTTTGCACATAAAAGCTGATCTAGGGAATCAGCACAGTCTGCTTAATGTAACCTTTAAATATATAGTCATGTAGTGTGCAACAGCATGTATTCTATGTGATAGTCTAAGGTCTATTGATTTTCTTGTTCAGGGAGCAAATATCCTGCTGGCAACAAATGGTGATGTTAAGCTTGGTAAGTTACATGTGTAGGTAATCTGATAATAATGTCAAGAGATAATGACCAAAAGTCTACAAACAAACATTCAATGTCATCTGTCTTTAGCACAAGTACAGCTTGACAAGACAAAGTGCAATTCATTTGATATTAAAATGATTATTTATATGTCAATTGTGACATTGTTAGTACCTCGTATAAATATATGAACTTATCTTGTTTATTTTATAGCTGATTTTGGCATATCAGCTCGAATAACAGACACAATGAAAAAGAGAAAGTCATTTATTGGGACTCCATACTGGTGAGTTATAGGCTGTTATCAAATCAACACTTTCTTACTATTCACTGAATGAATAAAGTATTTGCTGTTTTATTTTATGATAAAGAAGTCTGACACAGTTCACATGCTAGTTCAGAGCAAGTAGTACAGTGGCTTGAGGTAGAAGGTAAACAATAGCAATATCAGCTAGATAATAATAGATAGATAATGAAGGACATTAGCAGGTCTAGGTAGATGGTGTTGAATGGTTAGGGTGGGAGGTATATATAGTGAAGGATAGTGGATAGATAATGAAGGACATTAGCAGGTCTAGGTAGATGGTGTTGAATGGTTAGGGTGGGAGGTATATATAGTGAAGGATAGTGGATAGATAATAAAAGACATTAGCAGGTCTAGGTAGATGGTGTTGAATGTTTAGGGTGGGAGGTATATATAGTGAAGGATAGTGGATAGATAATGAAGGACATTAGCAGGTCTAGGTAGATGGCGTTGAATGGTTAGGGTGGGAGGTATATATAGTGAAGGATAGTGGATAGATAGTGAAGGAAATAAGCAGGTAGATGGTGGTGAATAGTTCATATGTGTCGCGTTTTAGGACCTGACTTTTGCTGTATTGTTGCCCGTATTGCGATACACCGATACACAACATGCCATAGGGCTACATATCTAAGCAATCCAAAATCCAATGTAGTCCCCCGGTCTCTCAAAGGATCAGCTAATATACACCACACGGCCACACATACAACGATACAGGAGATAAACAACGACACAGCACTACCGCGATACAGACGATACAGACGATACAACGATACAGGCGATAAACAACGACACAGCACTACGGTGATACAACAATACAGACGATACAACGATACAGGAGATAAACAACGACACAGCACTACTGCGATACAGACGATACAGACGATACAACGATACAGGAGATAAACAA